AATTTTATCATATTATATTATATAACTTTGTGAAATCCGGTAATCTGATTGGTCAATACGAAGTACTTATTTTTTTAATAACGACCGCTGAAAGCGAATAATGACTCGCACGAGCTGCCTCGTTTTCACTTTCGCTTTAGACAAACATGGAAGTTCGCAAGTTGTAGGTGAGGAAAATTTAAAACATATGAAGAACTCTGAGACTGATAATACAAAACAATTACTAGGATATTTGTGAATATTATTCGGGAATAATTAGCACATACCATTTCATGGTTGAGTTCGACCTTTCCACTCGGCGAGCAGAGTTTTGACAAGCACGCCATGTAAGATTGTATCTATTCTTAGAAGACATAGGTATTTATATTTTGTCAGTGCATTTCGTCTGCAAGTGTAAACGAGAGCGATTCTCAATCTGGGGGAGGGGGTACTCTGTGTTATTCGGAGATAGATATCTTGCGTCATTATTATGATATGGAAAATTTATTGCCGAAACAATTTCCTCTGAGTTATGGTTATATTCAAGGAATTCTGAAACATTTACAATCAACTTATTTATGGTTAATACTATCTCTGTAAATAATAGGATGATATAGTAAGTCATTGCACTAATAAATTTGGGAAATTATTATTTATATAATATAATAAATATGGACTCAATGCACGGTCAATATGCATTTAAAATGACCCAGGATGAAAGATATTGACCTCAGATACATGAAGTATATCGACCTCGGGCTAGCGCCCTCGGTCGATATACTACATGTATCTTCGGTCAATATCTGTCATCCTGGGTCATTATAAATGCATATTGACCTACATTGAGTCCATATTTGTATAATAAAGATAATTCAAACCCGACTATTTTTTTCCATAAGTAGAAGCCCAAGTCATGGAATATATAATCCATATAAGTAATTTTATATCAATATGCATATTTAAAGAATAAAGGAATATGTCAGATATTTTTTAAAGGAATTTTAGTAATGAAGGCTAAAATATTGTCCGTGTACAGGTATAAGTACTCTGTTGTGAAAAAAATGCTCGGGCATGTTCTTCATGAGATATAAATGTAAGCGATAAATTTAATTTTTCGAAGGGGATTTCACGCGATATCAACATAAGATTATTTTTGTGTGACCTAACAAAAATTATTTTTTGAACTTTTGAATTTTGATATCTTTTAAAAGAAAAAGACTGGGGATATAATTTGACAAAAGGTGATACAATTTATGGACAATTATTTTTCAAGAAGAAAAACGAAAATATTTTTTAGCGATTAGAATCAGACCAAGCGGCTTTAAATTCCCTCTCTTGTGATGATGGCAAAAATTTCCCTGTATACCGTAAATCTTAATGTAAATATTTTCTATCAAACTAATCAATGCCAATCAAATTGCTTTTCTTTAAAACTTTCCTAAGGAGCTAAAATGCATTAATATATTTAAATATTTCCATTTCTAATAATTTTTTTCTCTATAATAACCCTTTGAAAGTAAGCTGAGTTGATTTCCTGATAAATCTGCCGGAAAGTAAATTAGGCAGGTCAATAGGTCAGGAGCTATATGGAGGCCTAATATGCATGCAAATCTCGTGCGCATCTGTCTCTGAGTCTCAGACGCTAAGGAGGCTAAATATGCATGAAAATTTCGTGCGGCTGCCGTTGTGTTCGGCAAGGCCTATTAAAATTGGGACGGGAATCCTCGTGTAATTTTAAATCTATGTCTGCATTTTTAAAGTCTAAATCTACAATATTATTTTACAATGAAATGGAAATATAAGGAATCACTGTCTAGTGTCTGCATTTTTCAAGTCTAAATCTACAATATTATTTTACAATGAGGCCAGCATTTTTTTTTTTTTAGGTTTACGAACATCAGAATGAAAAAGTCCCGTAGGAGGAGGAAATTAAAAAAAAAATAAAATTATATTTTGGATACATTATCGACTTTTCTACATTAATTTTTGCTTCTTTTTTTATGCTCTCCTAACAAGCTTGTTGTCACCGGACACATAAAGGTTACAAATGGGAAAATACAACCTTTAATTGTTTATTTCATCATCTACCAGTTGGGGGCAGTGATATAAATCTTTTGATGTTGGACAAAATACAGATTTTTTTTAAAAATTAATTTTTTAAATCTCTTTTAATATATCTTCATTTTTGTTTTTAATGTGTGTTAGGTAGAAATTATTCTAAAATATTAATATACTTGAGACCTATAAAAATAATAATTCCTTTCATAAAACAGACAGGGGGTATTCCCAAGGAGTATTGAGGAGTAGGGTGGAATTTTTTTCAATTAAGTGTAAAATAATTTTTCTGGCTGCCATAAATGATACTACATGCCTGTATATATTTGTATATTCTTGTTTTTAAATAGTTGAAATATTTTATTTCTTTAGCTATTGTTTACTTCTTCCTCAAATGGACTTAACTTCTCCCATAGTTTTATTCATTACATCTGATGCATAAGCTACCCTTTTCTGAAGAATGCTGCTAAGACTGTAAGCTATGACAGAAACCTAAACAATATCTCTGACAATAGCTACCATGGGCAGTTTTAAACCTGTGGGAGGAAAATAATTTACAATTACAGACAGTTACTTTTGAATACGGATACATTATTATCTCACCAACATGTCACTTTGCAACAAAGTCGTCAGCATTTTATTGTTCTCTGAACGGGTGAAACGTTTTGAATGGCACTCCTATCGATAAATATTTACATTAAACCAAGCTTTAGTGCTGCTATGGACTTGACACAAATCTCCCTTCATTACCCGCCATGTTCGTTTAAAACCGGAAGTACGAGTTCGTAAATTTGAAATCTCGATCCCGACTCAAATTTGACATCGGAAAGAAAAAATTCTGTTTTTCTCAATTTTATTTTTTTTCTGAAAATTCAAAAACTTGAGCGGCGGGTTTGTAAACCTAAAAATAAAAAAATGCTGGCCTGAAATGGAAATATAAGGAATCACTGTCTAGTTAGTATAGTATGCCAGGGACATCAACAATAGTGGGAAACATGGGATAATTTATGCATAACAGGCTTTGCATTGTTGATGCCCTGGCATACTAGACTAACTAGACAGTACGTGATTCCTTACATCATTCAGCCTGTTACGAATTTGGCGTTCTCCACTATTGTGATGAATAATTAAGTAAACAAGATGTTTCTTGTGATATGAATCGTTAAAATAATGATTCGATGAATGATTGAATAAATGATATGTGTTGACATTTATTATTAGTTATCTGTTATTATTCATTAATGTTATTTGGAATTTATTATGATCTGGGTGCAAATTGTTCACCTCGTTCCGAATTTCCTTCATGTTTTAAGGAATACGCAACGTAAATAAACCATTGACTGCATCATAAATGCAATTACATAATGCTAAATGTGCTTACCTTTGATAATTTGTATAATTAATAAATCCATTCATTGATAATTAGTGTAAAACCTTACAATTACACTCTGCTTTTCATACTAAGCGGCGAAAGCTATAAAGTACATTCGGAACACCTCTGAAGAGTATAATAGTTAAGTGCATCCGAAGTTTTCCAGCTATTTGACGTTATGGCGCCAAATCTCATGCATTGAGTGATTGACGTCATAAAGGTTGTAAAGGCTTTATATACGAGCCCCCAGCGTCTAACGGTCAGACGCCTGCGGTCTCACCCACGGAAAGGTCTACCTGACGGACCAACTCCGAACAAGGCAGTCTCCCCATCACAAAGGGTTCTGTTTTAGACAGAGAGAAAAACAAATTGACATGATGGGTAATTATTAACCTGAATTTGTTAGCAACGTTTGATTGCGTTATTCATTCATTTTACTCAGACACAAGTAGTGGTCTGAACTCATCGTTATTGTTTATTGTTGAGTAGTATTTACTAAGGCACAAGAAGTGACCTGAACTTGATATTTATAACTCCTGACATTATTACTAACAACAAACTAACAAATGCATGGTGCATTGTATTGAGTTTTGTTGAGATGTTAGCATAACTTTTTGTCCCTATACAATTAGTTGTTTGCAACATCCTTTGAATGTTAACAAATGCTAAATGCATTGTATTGAGATATTAGCATAACTTTTTGTCCCTATACAATTAGTTGTTTGCTATAACCTGACATTTTATATTTATACTCACTAAGTGAAGAAATCACTAGTTCAATCTTTATTCAAGACCTAAAGACATTAGGTCTATTTGCATTTATTAAAGGGTTTGTTTAAGGGTGGTTTTATTAATTAACATTTGTTGGGAAGGGTGGTTGGTTTGTTTTTATTTCAGGTGAGGACCGCAGAGCCAAAGAAGAGTATTTTTGTATGTTTATTGAATAAAATCTAATAAAATATTAAAAACAAATTATATCCTGTTGTCTTTCGTTCAACATTCAGATTAAGGAGCCCCACAATGTTACGCCGCTAAACATATAAAGCCGTAAGTCGTAACAAGCCAATTACTGAATTTTTAATGTGTGTACTTTATTTGTCTCCGATAATTAAAATCCAGCCATCTTGATTGGATTTCATTAAGACTACAGTAAAAGTGATTACTGTAAACCAACTTTTATTCGCATGCGAGAAATATTCACAAGCTCCACGACCTACTCTAACTCGTGAATATCAAAAGCCATTCATTCCATTAGTATTGATAGGGAATGTTTGTTTTGTAGCGAAAATTGATCGTTATGGATTTATTCCAAATTGACAAATCGTGAATAAAAGATGATGCAAATAATACTATTCGCGAGAACTTTATTTTCATGTAATTACATGACCATTGCTCGCGAACATTTAATTCTTGTATATAATAGCATTCCTTATGATTGTATAGAGCAATTATAACCACAATTCATGAAAATCTTGTCTCGCTAATTAAGAGTCAATGACTATCTCCCGAAAATAAGGGGTCAAGAAAATATAGTGATCTACAGTAGTTAGTTTTCAGTATTTACACAATCTACAAAAACAAGACGTCTGTGTGTATGGTCCTCTCATGAGCTTCGTCTAACATTTTAATGCTGTACTGAGTTAGATCACCATCAATAAGGCATTCCCTTAGCATCATACCGTCTGTCATGTATTTAATCTTAGTCTTGGGACTCGTAGAGTACTCAAAACGAATTGTGTAGCCAACCTGAAGGAAATTAAAATTATGCATCTTCATGAAATTATCAAGGCATTCATATATTTTATACAAATGGAGTATGTGCATCTGCTAAATGTGTATTATTATTTTGTATCACAAAGCACCTACATATATCTAAATTTGTTTAATCTTTTTGAAATATTTTTTTGATTCAGTTTTAAATCTGTATTTTAAATGTACCGGTAATGCATCTTCTTTTGTTACGTTTGTGACCCCCCAAAAATGCAAACAAATAAATGTAAAAAAAAGTTGTATAAAATGCACATGGGGAGAATAATGTTATAATTAGTGAGTCAATTCAATTTTGAACCAAAAAAAATTTACCTCCTGTCCCAGTCGACAACCAAATTCCTCTGAGACTCGTTTGGCGACCCGCCTCGGCGAGATACAGTCTTCAAGAAAACTCACTGGTCCGAAGACCGAGCCCAGTGAATTTTGAGGTCGGGTCAGTGAAAATCAAAATTCAAGAAGTCCCATGGGCTTGTTGATTATAAAAATCATACACAGTCAATATACATTTTATGTGACTTACTTGCATTAATTTAATTGATATATAAAATAAAAAGAAGAAGCACGTGCACGTGTTGTTTAATCGTATTATTACAATCCTATAATAACATGGATGTATTACGTAACAACCGCAACTAGCTAGTAACTTTTAACTTGTACGTTAAATGAGCGAATTTCCAACAAACAACTTACCGAAACGAGACAAAGGATGAAATATTGCAGCATTTCAAAAAATGAAGTTCGTAAACATGTATAGATTTACAGTTATGAAAATGTAATTATTTTATTTTTTAATTAAGGGGCCAGTAAAAAATTTGTTGGGCCAGTAAATTTTGAAAGTTCACTGGTCTGACTGGCCAGTTAGTTTGAAAAGTTTTCGTGAAGACTGGAGATACTGTGTGATCTGAGTTGTCTTTCCTGAACCCGTCTCACCAATGACGATTAATACCTGGTTGACTGTCACTGCCTAAAATTGAGTTTATATTATACACTTATCCACTGGGTGTGAGTGGGATAGCTCTTTTATCAAACCCGCGACGGAGAACTATTCCCCGAGGGCTTGCCGGAGGGGAATAGTTTCTGTCAAGGGTTTGATAAAAGAGTTATCCCACTCACAAACAGTGGATAAGCGTTTTATTATACTGATGTATAATATAATTTCTGAGGTTTGAATTTTTTTGCAGTAAGATAATACTGCAAGAAAAATCTGAAATCCTGATGACGTCACAATGCTACTGAAGTCATTATGACATCATCAGTAGATAGATCTATCGTTGGAAATCAAAATTGGAGGCAAAAATTGCATGAAAATTTTCCGAGGGTGGATAGCAAAAACTATACCCCGGGGTATAGCTTTGCTATGCGTGAACTATAAAAGATATAGCTATTTTACCTTCTGAACTTTATATAGGAAACATTTTAATAGAAGTATAATAAAATAAAGTATAAATGTTAAACAGTTGCAAACGTATCTTGTATATGCCTCAGAGAACCAAACTATAAGAAGCTCAAAGTCTCTGATATCAAATTTTGCAAGTTCTCTCTCAGCATAGTCTATAGATTTTATCTTTCCTTTTTATTTTTTATTTGTCTATTTTGTAAAACTTGAAATCCTTTAGTGCAACTCAAATTAGTTCACCTATAGAAAATGATTTAAAGTAATTATACTATTGCTATTTTTATTGTTTGATAAATTTATCATCATTCTAGACATATCTCAATGACTAAATATTATTGACTTTAATTCATCAGATTTGAATGACCTCCAGCCTTCCTATTGTTTCTCTCCTCCTTTTTATCAGACTGGATTAAAGCGTGATAACTCCATACCTTGACTAGTTCGTCTTTAAGTTTAAATATAGGCAGACTCTACCGCTGTTTTAGAAGTGATTCATCTTTTCCTTCTTTCCGTACGACGCCTTCTGACCCCCAGATATATGTTTCTTCCACAGCTCCGGTAAATCTGCTGGGGCCATTCCAACACCCCTCACCTGGGAGGCTAGCTTTCTGTCACCATCTGAAATATACTCCAAACATATAAATGCATGCGTGGTTATTTAAATTTTCCTGCTTCATTTACTAAATTTTTCTTGCATTACCTTCAGAGAAATCATGAAATTTATAGAGGAAATTCTAAACTACCCCACAACTTTATGTATCTGTTCTTGTCCTTATAGTCACCGCTATACAGTAGAGAAATTGAACATGCTATTCAACCAATGGAGAAACCTCTTGTATGCAATGGGACCAACTTGTTTTATTTTAAAGACAATATCTTATCCATGAATACAAGTGTCTTGTACCCAAATCACAACACTATAGATTTGTAAGAATTTAAATCTAAAAAGTTAGAGAATAAACCTGTTATAAAAGCATGTGAATTAAGCACACCTCCTAACCTCATTAGCATAAATCGGAAGAATTCGGAGATAAACGTAATAAAATATGAACAAAATCCGTAAACGTCCGAACAGCTTTTCTCACGAGAATTCAGCGAGACCAACATGCTAGAGGTGAAAATCGAGAGAGAAATTAAACATGAAAAAAGAGGTAAAACTTTATGTTATCTCGATTTATAAGATTTGTAAATTGCAAAAAGTTGAAAAACAAACGTTTCTTTACCTGAAAAGTGAAAGTAGATTTGCAGTTTCTTATTATGTCAAGTGCTATTGCACTTTAAAGTGTCAAAACAGCACCTCTCGATTTTGTAAACATGTTTCCACGTGGAAGGGAGTAGTTTATGTCGGTCAAGATTAACCCACATACATTGATTTAGTAAACAAAAACACTCGTAAGTAGAATTTCATTTAATTTTTCGATTACCTGTAGCACAAAAAATGGCTAAAAATTTAGGACATGTTTGTCAAATGCTGTTAATAGCATGTTTTAAATTGAAGAGAAAATGCAGGTGTGCTACAGTTCGTTCCTACTTGTAAGGTAGTCTACTGTGCATGCATATGCAGAGTTACGCGTATAAAAGTCATTATTCTTACTTATCAATACCCAGTGATTTGTGAGAACCATGTGTTTTTTCTCAAATAGGCCTACCAAGAGAATATCCGTATACTCGTGTGTATGCACAAGAAGTTCTTCCGAATTTCCTCTACACATATACAAGTGTACCTGGATAAAGGATTAAAGGTTTGTTTACATTTGTTTGCATTTTTAATAGTGTCAGCTGTTTATATCAATCATGCAGTTTTCACTATAGCCTACTGATCAAAATATGGTTGTTACTTTTCTAATTTAGTAATTTAATATCATAGAACTTATGATCAGATGATGTCAATGCATGCAGTTCTCACATACTTGTGTATATATCAGGTATGAAACTTCACATATGCAGTTGTCGCCCGCATGGTGCACTGATTAGAGCGTTGATCTGCTCTAGAGTTGGGAAGTAAGGAGTCAATCCTTAAGTTGCAAGTTCGAATCCCACTGTGGGACGTGGAGACCGATCCTTCGGATGATACCATATAAACCGAGGTCCCGTGTCACTGTAGGTGCTGGCACAAAAAAGATCCCTCCCTGCTCAAAGGCCCTCTGCCGAGCATAGGACAAAATTTGTAGCCCTCCACCAGCAAGTAGTGGCGTCTCCATATGAGTGAAAAATTCTCAAGAGGGACATTATAACAACATACAATCATGAAATTTTTGAATATTTCATTGTTTACCACTATTTTCCCTTTTAAAGTATTGCCCATCTAAAAGTAGCTACTGAAATACAGTATGAATATTATAAAACTAGAGGTACTGTGAGCAATGAGCTCTGACACTAAATGATACCCATGCCATCGCTTCTCATATGAATATTATGACTGTGTTTTGATATGGGAAACCCCAAATATGTGGAGGATCAAAAATTAAATTGGAAGATGCACAATTGCAATATGTAATATAGATTCTGTGAAAGTCATCAAATATCACTCAGTGGTATGAGGCCAAAATAAAAAATAGTCTTGTTTCCTGCTACCCGACCTACCCTATTTTTTTGCACCCAATCCTAAAGTTTTTTTTAGCTTTTGAGGAAAAAAATCAAAATTTTAGGAATTTCATGTTGCAATAATGAAAAAAATATATATATTGTATTACATGAAATATATATGTTTAGAATATGGACTTTTATAAAATTCCACTTGAGTTGTGCATCAAAAGACATGGAATTTCATTTTAAAAGATGATATTGACCTTTAAGTTAGCTATGACATCATCATGTTCAATTTGGTTTTGTAGTAGTTCATATCCAAAAAAATACTGTTGGAAAAATAAAATAAAATTAAAAAATAAAATAATTTTCCAACATACCTACCCTATTTTTTTCTGGCTGGTAGTAGGAAACGAGACTATTATTTTTTTTTGGCCTGAGAGGAATTAGCGGATAAGGGATGCATGGTTACACCAAAGCATAACAGACGGACATACTGATTACTTAATATATCCTCCCGCTAATCAAGATGGGGGTATAATAAATTACATGCATTCATGCATCAATCTGTGTAATGAAAAGATATTGCTTAAGATAATTTACATTGATGGTTTGCATTTTTGTTTGTAAGAATACAGGTATTTCATTTACATATTTTTTAATTATTTCAATGTGTTAAATGAAAAGTAATTTTCTTTTTTGTTTGTCTATTGCAGGTTAGAGTACAGTTTGAACAGCCATCTCCAGGTATGACAAAAATAACACAATTGACCCTATAAGGTAATAAACAAACATTATTGAATTTAGAAAATGTATATCATGAAGCACAAATGTGAAATCATTGTAGGCCCAGGCAGGAAATAGTTAAACTGCTCACTCAGGCTTTTTACTGGTCAGCTCATCATATTATCATCCCACTGGCTACTAGATTTTAATAAATTAAAAGAGACTGACCCAAAACCATAATAATGAAATGACAGAACTTTGAAACAAGCCTGTCAAGTTACTAGTCCAACTATAATTGTATTTTGTTATACATAGACCTGACCCAAAAGACAGATACCCCCTACCGTGTACTAGCCTAGATAAAAAAATCACTGATCCATGCAGTCGTGTGGGCCTTCAATTATTTTTTAGCCTTGCATGGCCTTCAATTATTTTTTTGTTGTTTGATTTTTTAATGATATGCACCATCCCACACAAATTATACACACAAGAAAATATATTTATTTCCTTTTTTAAAATATGGGCTTTGCTGATCTTTACATGTATACAATGTATGTCTTTTCTTTTAAGGAATATGACATTGTTGATTGAATTTAAAAATGGTCTTCAATATGTATGTGTATGATACTGTATTAAATGCACAAAAAATATAATTTTCATTAAAATAAAACAAAAAAAGCAAATATAAAAAAGAAAATCAAATCAGTTCAATTATAATGTGCAATGAATGTTTCTTGCAGGATATATACTCTGAAGACAGTGATGTGAAAGTTCAAGGTTTGACTGTTGTGAGTATTGTATATGTAATTGTAAGGATAAATTTATAACATTTAACAGGCAACATTATTATTTAATTTTTATCATCCTGATCATGCTGATTGGAATAAACAAAGAAAAAATATTAAGCATGCCCAATTACTCCAATATCTACATGTACATGTATATCAATGTATAAAAGAATCCTGTGTAAAATAATACATATATGTATATAGTTAGAGAGAGAGAGAGAGAGAGAGAGAGGTTGATAAAAGGGTCAATATGATTGAAAATCATGCATCAGTATTTTTGTTTTTGTGTAATTCTCAAAAGATTTAATCACATTCTGTTCTATTTTCAGCAGAATTACTTTAATGATAAAGAATGGATGAAAAAATTCTCACATCATGCTGCATAACAGCTAGTACATGTAAGTTCAAAGGCAGAAGAAAATCGAATCTTTTAAAAGAGAATTTATAAATACAGTTGGTTGTCTGTTTCAGCAAACAGTTTAATGAACTGAAAATTATGCTGATACATAAATCAGCATATTATGCAAACTGTAAATGATTGCATTACATATTTTTCTGATTTGCATGTAGTGCATTGATATTTGTCAGTATTTTTCATTCAGTTTTTTTTCCACATAATTGCAAATGCGTGTATGTTATTTGGATTAATTAAATTTAGAGGATTGTATTAACTTATTAATCATATTTGTAGTTCAGCTGTATCAAAACAAATCTGATGAAAGCTTCAACCACGAGAATCTAAGGAAAGGATGTCAAGTCCAAAGAGATGGTATGTTGATTACTGGTGATGATATGTTATTGATGTAAATAGAGTACAGCAATAAAATAGAGAGAACGATAGTAATTCGTAGACAAAAAATTAAATCTTAATTCTTTTCAAGAATAGGCAGGTCATGATTAGTCACTCTGAGGTAATTAAGAGCAAATTTAGATTTGTTCAGATCATATAGCTATAGGGTAGGGTGGGTCCACAGTGGGGATCAAAGTTTTATTCTGGAATATTTAAGGCTGAAGCCTTTTATTATGAATTTAATCTTTTCAAGATTATCAGGGCCACGATACATCATATTTTTTAAATGAATACATCTTGGTACAGAATCCCAGAATCAAGGGTAATGGATGTGCCATAATTAGAAACAGAATGTTTATCTTGAAAGTCCCATGTAAATACATGTACTGGAAAATCATTTTGTTTATTTCTTGACTTTTAAATTAAGTAGAGATTAAAATGAATACAATGCCATCTGAATAAGTACAGTTAAACAACAGTATCTTATATATGATTTACTTTGTTAATTTAATTTGTTCATTTTGCGCATATCTCTTTCTCATGCAGATTATTAATGAAAATGATAGATTGAATTAGCAACTGTAAATGGCATACATGTAAATGAATTCTATATACCCTGTTCAGAGTTGAAATTTGGTATATACCTTTGACACTGAGTGATATCTTGAACACATTGAGATATCAAAGTCATTTTAAAGTCCCTTGAATGACATTTTTTTTTTCTATATATCTTACCCTGAATCTCTTGGATATCTCAGTTTTTTTAGCAGTCCCATAAGCATTTCAAGATAACAAGTGTGACTTAATTTTATTGATTCAATTAATTTATGATGAATTATGAAAATATCAATCATATACTTTTATGTTAATGCATTAACATTTTATACTTTTCAGGCCATATAACAAATGGTTGCTGAATTCATGAAGACTAGCTGGGATGATGCAGTACTTTTCTACTCTTATGAACCATATCTAAACATCATTTGAGGATCCCTTTTTCAGAAAAAAAGAATTTGCATATTCAAAGACTCTATATAGGTTATTTGTATGTTGTTTGACATTCTTCTTGAGAATTTTTCACTCATATGGGGATGCCAACATTTGCCGGTGGAGAGCTGCAAATTCTGTCCTTCACTTGGCACACATGGCTAATTGAGCAATGAGGGATCTTTTTGGTGCTAGCACCCACTGCAAAACAGGACCTCTGTATATACAGTCTCATCTCTATGTCCGACTGTGGGATTTCGAACCAGCAATTTAAGGATCAACTCCTTTCTCATGACTCTCGAGCAGATGCTCTTGCCACTGTGCCATGCAGGTGATTTCATAGGTTATAAAATAATAAGATAAGATTTATAACTTAAAACTGATGTTTTTAATTCAATCACAATGTTTGTAAAAAAAGGGAGGTAATAGCTACATGTAGCTCTCACTGGTATTGCATGCTTAAACTATATGAGTTACATATTGTAATTATACATGTATTTTAAACCAGATCAGTAAAGAAAGAAACACTTAAATATTTTTACTCTGAATTTTATTACAAGGTTGATTATCTTTTAAAATGGAACTTTATTTTTTTTGAGTAGGAAAAAAAATTTAGAATGTACATGTGTACATAATTTTGTTTATTAAAAATTGTCAAAATTTGGAGATCTTGTGAAGGGTATCTAAATATAGATATATAATTTTTTACTTCATTTTTAAACAGCATTTTAATCTTTATTATAACATATGCCTGTAATATACAACTTATTTGTTGTTGAACATTCCATTTTCTGTATACATGTAGTGCTTAATAAATTTCTTGTAAATACAAACATGATTGCATGCTGTTTGTTTACTTCGTCTTTTTTTCAATATGAGTCATGATATATAAATGGTGTGCATATCAGTTTAAATTATTTTTGTTGAATTCATTTAACAGAAAAAATTAATAACTGAATATAATTATGTAGATAGATCCCTCCCAGAAATATTTGCATGTACTAGCAGCTGCAGATTATGTAGCTTATGTGAAATCAGGTATACTTGAAAATCAATTTACCTGTATTTATTAAACAGAAATTTAGTGAACACATTCATATACCTATGCAGTATTTCATACTGCAAATACACTGTGTGTTAATGTTTTACTTCTTCAACATAAAAATTGACCAGAAGTGATCTTGATGAAATAAAACAATATTTTTTTTGTCCCAATTTTATCACAATTTACATGTTATATAAATTGATAAAAGAAACTGACTATACAATTAAAAAAATCTTGAGTTGTCTTTCCTTGTTTAAAGAAAATATCTGATGCAATGAATGCTACCTTGGGTTCATGACCCTGAATATTAATAAGGTTGGGAGGTGTGTAAGGGGTATCGAAAGAGTGACAGATTCGTTTTTCACATATACGGAGAGTATTATCAAAGAAAAGGAACCGTTTAACTTCCTTCTCAAGCATGACTTTGTACAAGTGAAATGTCTGTTGAATTCCACAGTCAATTTAATCAACGCAGATGAAAACGAGACTGAGAAAATTGTCAGTAATGACGGCTCTTATAATGAAGCCGACGAGAGGAGCGAGATGGAAAGGAACATTTTTGAGGAGTACCTCGTAGATTTTGACCAGTTTTAGTCCAGGTTTATCCTCAGGAGGAGGTTTTCAAAAGAGCCTCCGCATTGTCAGATTCGCACAGTTCGGATAGGATGAATGTTATGATGATTGTTTTGGATTCTATGTCCCACATGTCATTCCGTAGAAAACTGCCAAAAACCTACAGCTTAATTCTTAAAGAAAAATTTGGCTTCAACCATTCTGAATGCCTATAATATCGTTGGTGATGCTACTTTAGCTACACTGATACCAATATTAACAGGTAAACGTTGGCATGATAAAATTTTGAATTTTTTTTTTTTTTTGAAAACAAATACAGTCAAACCTATTTGTTATCTAGTACTCTATGACTGAGGAATAACTAGAGATTTCAAGGGTGAAGTGCTAAAGGAATATCTGGTTGGGTCATCTAAATTACTTTGATATATCAATGCATGGTATTTCAAGATACTGAAGTTCAACTGTATTGTGTTTTTCATGATGCAAAATTTTTCCAATCATATCTTTTCATTTCATCTGATCCAAAAGTTTAAGAGAACTTCTTGATACATTATATTCATGTTCAACTTCAAAAGTTTTAGCTGCAGAACTGTATAGCTCTCTGCTTGAGAAAATTAGGACAGATAAAGCAGAGAGCTACAGATCCAAGCGTAGTAAAAACCTTTATGGAACGCCAAATTAACATATATTCAAATATTTGTACCTATCTTCAAATAATTGCACCTATCTTCAAATAATTGTACCTATCTTCAAATGAATTGAAGATAGGTACAATTGAATTAAAGATAGGTACAATTAAATTGAAGATAGGTATAAATAATTATACCTTATCTCTAAATAATTATACCTAGGTACAAATGAATTGTACCTATCTTTAATAGAATTACACCTATCTTCAATTCAATACGCGAGTTTCGAGATTGTAACTCTCCTACGATGGAGGTCAAAAAGTGTCCATTTCAGCATGGAGGTGGGACAGGTTGCTTCTGTGTACAAAAATTGCATGAATAAATGAACGATATTTTTGGCTTTTAGAATTTATTAAATGTTATAGAAAGATACTGATGTTAAGCAGTGATGCATTTGATGATTTTATCAAGCTCAACTATGCATATTTGCAATTTCACTTTGAATTATAAAGTTCTTGAAAACTAAAGAAACGTTGTAGCTTTATAAAAAGCAATCGATTTTCTTGATTGTACAAACAATTTCTATACAATTAGTGTTTTTTAAAAGTTATAATAAGGAAAAGAATCAATATGTAATTTAGATTGCCGACGTGCAATGATCACATGCATGTATTTATTATATTTCTTCCCTCGTCTAAAAAGTCTCACATCCACTGATATTTTCTTTTTTGTTACGATTTTTTTGCTTTAAAAATTGAAATCTTTACATTAATTCGGTTATTCTCGAGTTGTAGAGTGCATCCTGACAATCATGAAGTGACGATAAACCAGAAGATTATCTGTATCGATATATCCAATATATAAATAATGAATATCTGTCCCACCTGTCTGTTTACGCGGCAACGAAACTCCCCTCCTCAACGAAAGAGCGCAACAAGGGAGATAATCTCGAAACTTGCGTATTAAAGATAGGTTCAATTGAATTATACCTATCTCTAATTCATTTGAAGATAGGTATAATCGATTTAAAGATAGGTACAATTGATTTGAAGATAGGTTCAATTAAGACATATCCACAAAGGAATTGAAGATAGGTACAATTCAATTATACCTAGGTTCAATTCGTTTTATGTTGTTGGTAAATAATGAACGCTCCCTTGGAGACAATATTGAGTATGGAGGGAAACGCACAGAAACTACAGAGCGACGACAACAAGGATGAAAGGAGAAATAAAGGTTAATTCAAAATGTGCAGAAAGCATCATATACTTATAAAAATACACATGTACATCATGTAAGTTTATCTTGTATTGCAGCCAGATGAAGATTCCGATAAACTTTCGCGCCAGTTGTGACGTATCGGAAATGACCTATGATGAAGGGAGTAGTTGTTATTGCCAATATCTTAATAATTAAAGATAGGTTCAATTCAATTGTACCTATCTTTAAATCAATTATACCTATCTTCAATTCATTGCATTTGTACCTATCTTCAAATCAATTGTACCTATCTTCAAATGAATTAAAGATAGGTATAATTGAATTGTACCTATCTTTAATTCATTTGAAGATAGGTACAATTCATTTGAAGATAGGTACAATTCAATTGAAGATAGGTACAATTATTTGAAGATAGGTACAAATATTTGAATATATGTTAATTTGGCGTTCCATAAACCTTTGATTTACGCCGACGATTTTTTGTCGCTCACTATGGGTATTTTTTCGTGTATTTTATACTTTCCTCAGCTATGAAAATTATTTTAAATGGTATTTAATAATTAATCATACATTCAAATTCAATTTCTGATCATTTACTTACCTCTCAACGCTAACAAATGGCTGTGGTTACGGACGTCGAAATAGAACTCTTTTTAACCGACATTACAAAACTACATACAGGACTGTTTCGGACTGCTAAAAGGTAAACAAAGTATCAAGTATTAGTGTTAATTATATGAATTATCATAGGTTACCATTCTAAATACCAGAGAAAGCTTAAACTACATGAAATAAATTCCTACTGTAGGGAC